AGTACAGACAACGAATAGCCTGAAGAATCCGAATCTGAATTGTTGCCACTAGTCTTGACAACATTCACCTCTGGAGCTTGTACAGCTTTCCCCTTATTCTTCCCGGCTCGATCTAACTTTGGGCATTTAGCTTTCCAATGTCCATCCTCTTTACAAAAGGCACACTGATTCCTACGAATCCCACGATGTGCACCTCTAGACTGCGACCTCCTGCTTCGGTTTGAACCACGGCCATGAACTACTAATGCATCTCCCGATGCCTTCTCGGAGGACTCATCAACACTCTTCCTCAACTCATAATTCACCAACGCTGAGGTCACCTCCTTATTGAGGGCATCCGGATACGATCGGGTGTATAGACCGATCGTAGAGGCCATTGGGGGAACACCCCCCTTTCCAACGACCTCATGAATGGCCCATGTGAGAAGTTCAAGATGCCTCATATGGAGAAGTATAGAGCGAAGGAGACCCCTCCGAGCACATCCAGAACTATTATGATGTAATGAGCATGCTCCAAGCTTCGTAAGCTATTATATGCCGATACTTCCCCATTACCCTGTCAGGGAGCGCCAAGCTCTGGTGAAACGCCCTTGAAAAAAAGTCCATCAGCAGCTTCCAGCAGATCAGCCGGAAGTTCATCCACCACTTCTTAACTAACACCAAACAGAAGCTGCCCCCCTCATGTGTTGTTCCAGATGAGGCAAGAGCCCGGAGAGAGCCTTCGAGCTTACTTCAAGAGGTTCCAGGTGAAGAGGCTAGAGGTTAATGACCCAGGGAGTGCGATCGCCATGTCCGTGTTGTGCGCAGCGGAAATTTCGGCAGCACCTCCGGTGCGCAAGGTGCACAACAAGAGATTAGATCACAATGAAATTCTTGCTTCTCAAAGGAAACAAGAACCAAAAGCCAGATATCTCATCAAAGTGAGATATCAGCTCTTCCTCTCGTCAGCTCTAGGACTGCGCGTCGAGGGTCCTCTCGTCAGCTCTAGGACTGCGCGTCGAGGGTCCTCTCGTCAGCTCTAGGACTGCGCGTCGAGGGATCCTACAAGCTATTACAAATCACGGCAAGAACACAAAATTTTACGTGGTTCGGCAAACTGTCTACGTCCACGGGGCAAGGAGGGGGGAGATCTACTAATAGAGGGAGAGATACAACTGGGGTTTACAATCTCACAATCTAAACCCTCACAAACTCTCAGATCCCTCACACAAACTCTCTCTACAAAAGGGATGCACAAATCAAAGAACAACTGCAAAAGGACTGCTCAAACTCTCTGCCCACGCCTTTTCACCCGCAAGGAGCCACACGCGCCTCTGCAATTTGCTTCTCTGCAGTCCTTGCACGCACAGCCACAAAAAAGAAAACAAGACCTTTTTTTTTCTTTTCGTAGCCGCCTCCTGCCTATCTCTCTGCACCGCCAAAAGAACCCCTCAACTTCCTCAATTGCACAGCCTCCAAAACCTAGGCAAAGCTAGGTATAAATAGCAGCTGTTCGTGGGCCGCTTCACATGTACCCGAACGAAAAAACCGCATCCTCATTTTTTTTTACATAAATTTTACGTGGTTCGGCAAACTGCCTACGTCCACGGGGCAAGGAGGGGGGAGATCTACTAATAGAGGGAGAGATACAACTGGGGTTTACAATCTCACAATCTAAACCCTCACAAACTCTCAGATCCCTCACACAAACTCTCTCTACAAAAGGGATGCACAAATCAAAGAACAACTGCAAAAGGACTGCTCAAACTCTCTGCCCACGCCTTTTCACCCGCAAGGAGCCACACGCGCCTCTGCAATTTGCTTCTCTGCAGTCCTTGCACGCACAGCCACAAAAAAGAAAACAAGACCTTTTTTTTTCTTTTCGTAGCCGCCTCCTGCCTATCTCTCTGCACCGCCAAAAGAACCCCTCAACTTCCTCAATTGCACAGCCTCCAAAACCTAGGCAAAGCTAGGTATAAATAGCAGCTGTTCGTGGGCCGCTTCACATGTACCCGAACGAAAAAACCGCATCCTCATTTTTTTTTCTTTGTCCGCTGAACTCACGCGCACGTGGGCACGCACATGGCTGGGCCCCCACTCACAGTTGGACTATCACACACAGATGGACATTACCTCACCCTCACTTAGCAGCTAAACTCACACTACGCCCACTACTGGATGGTTACATACCCAATGCAATAATAGAGAGAGACTATGTGAGTTTTGACCCTCACCCAGCAGCTAAACTCACACTATGCCCACCACCGTATTGTTACTTGCCTAGGGCAATAATCAAAAGAGACTATGTAAGTTTTTAAACTCAATCAAAAAATTCACTTTTTAAAATCATATGTATTTGATGAGTTGTCTATCTTTTGTCCAAAATGTAGGTATCAATATTTGATGAGATTGAAGAGCATATAAATAAGAGTATTGTTGAGATTAATGATCCAAAATCATTATCGGTATTCAACAAGATCAGAAGGACGATTTTCATTGTCTTTCATGGGAATCATGTTGACAATCAGGAAGAGCATGAGGACAGAACACATCAACACATGAACGCGGTGTATGAGTGATGAAGACGTAGGCTGAGGTCTTCTACTACGCTTGATGATGAAGCCGGCACTTGTCAACATGCGCTTGATGATGGAGCTGGTGTTTTTCACCATGCTCAATCTGAAGAGAAGGATCCACATGCATAACCACCAAGTACACAACTACATACACAACCAAATAGGGAGATCATCGAGGCTCATGCTATATGTAAGGGACGACCTCACGGACAGGCAAGGGTTAAGGGAGTAGGAGAAAGAAGGGGAGGCATGCTTGAATGTATGTGACTTTTTTTTTCATAATTGATTATGTATGATGTGAGATTTGAATTATGTGTCATAGTTGGATTATGTGTTTTTGGTTTGTGGTTGGATTGATGCAAGGGAGATACTGATTTTATGATTACGTATATTTTGGATGATATTGTGGATTGTGATCTAGGTTTCAATGCGAATACGATTTATATGTAGCAGGGTGATCTGGAATATTGTAAAGTTGTGATTTGTGGTTATTGCAGTTTGTGGTTAAGTACAATTGTAGGAGTTGTCAATCATGTAGAGTTTTGTATAAGAAATAAACTCCACGGGATTGCTAATCCCATGGAATCCCATAGAGTTTAACTACTCGAATAAAGTCCATGGGATTGCATATCCCGTAGACTTTAATTAAGTAATTAATCTCTACGGGATTGGCAACCCTGTAGAGATTAGTTGAGTAATTAAACTCTATGAATTTGGCAATCCCATAAGGTTTGTGAACAATTTTTTTTTAAATCAATCTAGTTTCAGTGCACGAATCTAACATGGTTGAAAGTAGGTCAAAAGTGGCAAACATTTTGATAGTAGGTCAAAAATTCTCCTAAAATCGACAAATTTGTATATGACACGTGCGAAGCTGCTGGTTGACTATAGAGGACTACAGGCTTTCATGTTAAGAGTCATATTAGCTACCTTTCCAAGTTCTAAGACTGGCGGTTGAAGGGTCTGAGCTTACGAGCAAGCATGTCACAGGCACGAGGCTGGTGCTGATCAGAGTTAGCATTGCATACTCCTATTTCATAACAACAGAGCATATTAGTACAGAAACCATTATACTTTCCAGCCACTTTAGCTCCAGTTAGTCACAAGTTCACTTCAATGGTCTGAAGAAACATGTAAAACTCTAGGTATTAAGTATTGAAAAAAGTAACTTGGAACTCAAATATAGAGAATTCAATCTCTTAAGTTATCTCCTACTTAATGAAATCGTATAATTGTACATGAAAAAGGTCAATCATAAGCAGCTTAAATCAATAATTGTAGCCATAGTTTCCAAAGTTCTAGCTGTCAAATAACATGCGACACATAATTTACTAAGAGAAAATAAAATATAGCCGTTAAAATCTTCAAAATGCTCAATTCTATAATTCAAACTTAAAATTGTAGTAAGAATTACCACTTTTAAACTTAAAGATGTAAGAGCATTATCATTATTCTCCTAAAATTTAGATTGTATTACTTCTAGCGTGATATTCAGTTTGTAAACCACTAGTATTTCGATGCACACAATGCACGCGTGATGCAAAACATGGAGAAAGTATGGTAATCAAAAGGGAATTGATAGATATGAGTTTGACTGTATTTTTACTTCTCCTTTTCCCCCTTTCTCTAGATTTCTCAAAGTTTAAGGCCATTTCTGTGTTTTCCCCCCTAAGTGTCATTCCTTTGATTTTGTTAAGTGCAAGAGCATTTTCATTGATATTTTAAGTACGAGGACATTTAGAATTAGTTTTTTTCAGATGTAAGAGAATTTTCAGAATTCTATAAGTGTGGCTTGCAATGACCAAAAAGGTGTTTTCCTTTATACATAGTATAGATAAGCTACAAACATGAATCCTTCCTAGACTAGGGTGTAAAATTGGGTCACGACTAAAGCTAACCCAATTTTAAGTTGCTTCTTATTTGGGAAATTCCCATAATAGAGCCGGCCCAATTTTTTTAGCCCAAAAATTGGCACTAAATCAGTTTTCTTTGAATCATAAACGAGCTGGTCCAAAAAATACTGGTTTAGCATAAAACTGGGTCAGGACTAGTCCTGGCCCACTTTTGTATAGTTTGATAAACACCCTAACACACATGAAAATAAGCACAAGATCACACCATGGAAAAGTCTTTCTCTACCTGCACCTGTAACTTGAAATGGTGCTCATCCACAAATGCAGTGTGCTATCAGACGAAGGTTTTGTATTCTGCCAACAATAATACTGTCCAAACAAAAGTATAGCAACAGCATTTGAAGCACACAAAACAAAAAGCTTGCTATTTCCCTGCTTATGGAATTCTATAAAATCGTATATAACAACATTAAAGCAGCAAGAACTCTCCTCCTGTCAAGAATAAAAGGCCTCAAACATCACCTAAAACCAAACACAAATAGTATATTAGTAATACTTGACAGCAAGAACACAAACACATCACACGATCTAGAATGATAATATTTTCTTTTTTCTTTGTGCTAAAATTATAGTACAGGTGGACATGGGAGCTAACATTGAACTTGGGATGTAGTTTTTCACCTCTCATCACACACAACGTACAAGTACCTGTGGGCATATACAATTATTTGATACATGTTTAACACATTTCTCTCATTTTGCTTTGGTATAGTTATTCACATAGTATGTCACCTGAACAATTACACCTTAACACAAATTATAAAAGATTACACTTAAAAACCAAAATATCAACATCTATTTATGAGCTGCTTCTGTGAATGAAGCAACTGATTGCCATACCAACGAAGTTTTTCCTTGTAATTAGAGGATGCTTCCTCAAATTTCTTGTTCATAAGCCTCTTCTCCTCCACAATCTCTTTGTATCGACAGCGTAACGCAGTCAACTTGGCCTGGGTTGAGCGAAGCTGCAATCTGAGTTTTGTCTTCTCTTTATTAGAGATGATAATTTCCTGTAATGTAGATAAATACATATTAATATTTCTCAATTACTCATTTGCAACAAATTTCTACTAGGAAAATAATATTGAGCATGAACATTCAAACTGGAAATGCAAAACTGATCTAATTGAGTGAGAATGATAAGTAAAGAGCAACATGGAATTTGCTTTCCATAATGCAATCTTACGTACTCATAGGCTGCCTAATATAAACTTTCTTGAGAAATAAAATAAACATCTGAGATGCAAACTGATAATTTGAACTATTCACCGTGTTCTCTGAAATGAAGCCTTTACATAGATGAGAGAAGGCCAGGTCATGGCTCTCGCTAGTAAATGGACATAGTATCAGTTCCCATTTTGCATAATTTGATGCCCCCTTCCCTGATAATTGACAGGTGTGGTTGGGAGGGATGACAATGTCCAGGAGATTAGGCAGTTGCTCTAAGGACCGAGGGTTTTATGATGGATTCTGATTTTCCAACACCAGTTACTTATGTGAGATAGGCAAATCAGAAGCGAACAGCTACACTAACAGCCACAACAATGAAGGCTTTCACAAAAAGTTTACTCGATTTGCTAGCTTATTAGGTTTTGGATCCTTAAGGACTCATATCTAGATCCAATAAAGAATTGGATCCAGTTTTGTAATCCATGTCATGCTCAGTAAGCTACTAAATGTGATCATAAGGATACAAAACCAAAGATTCAGATTGGATTCAGATTGCATCATCGAGCTCCATCACCACCCCGAATGAAGACAAAACATAATATACTGGTAATCAAAGTAATGGAACAAAAAACAAATTATAAATAACCCACAATTATCCCTATTTACAACAATTCTCAAAACCTTGTTCTCTTTCTTGCAGAAAACATTATCCAAAGAGATGAAGGCTTGAAGACATTATCATGATAACTAAATCCACAAAAGCAAAGAGCAAGTTGAAGTTCCATAAAATATGATGGTATGCGCATAATTCTCTAGAGAAATTGGATCAAGATTAAGAAAATAATCGGTGCAGCATTCTATTTGGCCACTAACCAGAATGCAAATTCAACACATGTTATTTGTGATATTGCTACTTGGTAATATACTCAAATGCCGTTTCTGCAGCAATAGATGTTAAATCAAAGGATTCAAAATGGATTGTTAAGACTGGCAGGTTTCAACGAAAGACCAATCTTCTTGGCCAGTAGTCAAGTAAACCGAGGGAATGAGGAAGTGAGCAGGCAAACACAAGTCACAAGTTGGCATATATGATTTCCGAGTCTTAATCAATCTTGAGAACCTTTTAGGTTTGTTCCATAAAACTAGTACTAAGCTCAACTGAAAGAGCCTTTAAAAATATGCTATAGTACAAATCACAACCCTTTTGCCTATTCTTCTGACAATTAAACAAATAATTAAAACTGAAAGATGAACCAGCATTTAAGCATTTCTGAACATCCAAGTAGTTTATCATGAGTTTATGATTTTGTGCATCAACTATAATTTGTTTCAATTCTTCTGTTTTAGACATCTCTTTCTATCGTCATTGTGAGAAGTTGACTCTCAAGCTTCTGCATAGCATGATGATACGAGTATAAGAAAGAAAGTGGAAGTAGAAAATTTAGAGAGCTTGTTTAATTTATCGCAAGAATGTTTAACTTCTATGCATTCTTATAAATGCTTTTATAATCTCTAAAAAAAATAAGACGTATTACACCTGATAATCAATTGATGCAACTGATCCTTCATCTGTCTTTTTGAGTTGAAAAGATAATCTGTCCCGTTCTTGGGTAATGAAGTTCAATCGCTCCTGCAATTTCTGAACTTCATCACAAGCATGATGGTAGTCTGATGATAGCACTTCCAATTTGGACAAGGCCTGAAAGAAATAATGCTCAGTATTTTGTACAAGGCATATGCACCATCTATACCACTTCATTCAAAAAGTGGGTTAAAAAAAAATCTTACATCTCCATATTTATCCTTGATGTGGTCACATTGTTTCAGTTCATTTCTTAGCTGAACATTTTCTGAAAAGATCGCCGAGCTGTAATAATAATGTACCCAAGTTAACAAATAAATAACAGAATAATCCATCCTAAAAATAATAATGGTTATGATTAACATGAGGGATTATGCATAGCGATGTGAGCTTGTTGTTTCAATGTCATACAAGGGATGGAATACCAACAAAGATGATTTGACAGCTCATTTTATTGATGTCAATATGGTTTCCTTTGTAGCATTGAATTTTACAGATTTCAAGAGCTTTGGATGATAGAGACACTTGCAAGTTTTGAAGGAAGAACCTTCCCTCCTGGAGTGTCATTCTAGTGGAACTCCTCAAAGAGTTCCAAGTTTTCTAGTTGTGACATTCATGTATTTGACAGCTCATGATTCCAAAGTTTGAAAGCGAAGATGGAAAATTTATAGGTAAAGCTATTTGCTATATATGGAGAGGGATGGCTACTGGCCACTGATAAAATGAAAGAAGTTTGCGTCTTTGAACTGTTTTCTTGTCAAAAGAAGTTACAAGATACAAAGTTTTGTAGATTTTGGGGCTTCAAATTAGGGTTGCTTTCTCTCATAGAGAGGTACCCTTTTATATTAATGTACTCTTACAAATAGATCCTTACAACATTAACTAATTAACTTACTTCAACTCAACACTCCCCCTCAAGATGGGCGATAGATATCAATCATCCCCATCTTGTTACAAAAGATATCATACTCTCTAGAACCTAATCTTTTTGTTAAACAATCAGCTAACTGCTCTTCTTCTTTTCTGATTTCACATAGCTCAAAGTCAGAACTCCTCTATTCAATTGCTCCTTGATAAAGAACCGATCAATCTCCACATGTTTGGTCCGATCATGCTGAACAAGATTGTTTGCAATATTAATCGCCGATTTGTTGTCACTTGTCACACCAAAGTTGTAAGGAGTCTCTTCTAAACAAGCGCAGCTCAAATAATATGTTTTTGACCCACATCAACTCGCATAGACTAACTGCCATAGCTCTGTACTCGGCCTCAGCCGTAGACCTAGCCACCACATCTTGCTTCTTACTACGCCAAGATACGAGATTGCCTCCAACAAATACATAATAGCCTGTAGTGGACCTACGATCATCCATACAACCCGCCCAATCAGCATCACAATAGCCTTCAATTCTCAGATGTCCAGAACTCCTGAACCATAACCCCTTTCTTGGGCTTCCTTTAATATACCTAAGAATTCTGCGAACTGCCTCCATATGCTGCTCTCTGGGATCATGCATATATCTACTCACCACACTCACTGCATGAGTAATATCAGGTCTCGTATGGCATAGATATATAAGCCGTCCAACTAATCTTTGATATTGCTCTTTACTCACCGGGTCACCACCCTCGGCACACATCTTATGATTCTGCTCGATAGGGATAGATGCAACTCTGCACCCCAACATCCCTGTCTCTGAGAAAAGATCCAGAGCATACTTCCGCTGAGAAAGCACTATACCCTTTCGCGACCTTACAATTTCAATTCCGAGGAAGTACTTTAACTGTCCCAGATCTTTAACTTCAAATTCATTTCCTAATTTCTTCTTCAACAGTGGGATTTCCTCAGTATCATCTCCAGTGATTATAATATCATCAACATAGACCGCCAGGATAGTGATACGAGTTTTGGAGTGCCTGTAAAACATAATATGATCCTCATTGCACTGCTTGTACCCCATACCACAGACTGCCAACCTGAATCTGTCAAACCATGCCCTCGGAGACTGTTTTAACTCATATAAAGACTTCTTCAACTTGCACACCTTCCCAGCTACTTGAGAAGTAGCGAAGCCTGGTGGAATCTTCATATACACCTTCTCTTGAAGATTTCCATGCAAAAAGGCATTCTTGACATCTAGCTGATGTAGTGGCCAATTGAAGTTGGCAGCACATGACACTAACACTCTAACAATGCTCATTTTTTCTACTGGAGCAAATGTCTCGTCATAGTCAATGTCATATGTTTGGCTGTAGCCTTTAGCAACCAATCTGGCCTTGTATCTATCGATCTTACCCTCTGGAGTTTGCTTAACCGTATACACCCACTTACATCCAACCGCACGCTTCCCAGCTAGCAAAGCTACCAGCTCCCATGTATCATTCTTCTTCAAGGCCTGAAGTTCCTCGTGCATGGCACTCAACCACCTAGGATCTTGTTTAGCTACCTGCCAGTTGTTAGGTACAGGCACTGAATGCAATGATGCAATGAACGATTTATATGCAGGTGGGATGGATGCATATGAAATGTAATTCACAATATCAGTATCCCAACTATCAAACTTAGCTGGAGGTTTTCCAACATTGACTCTAGAGGTTCTACGGGGAAAGACGGGAGTATTAGAAGTATCAAGGAATGAATCGTTACCTATCGACTCAGGTGGAGAGGATGAGGAAGGCACTGGAGAGGAGGGACTTGGGATATCAACATTTGTGGGTACTGGCACAGACACAGGAGACAGCTCATGCTGCTGTTTGTCTCCTCGTGTATACTCTCAGCTCCCCCTAACATTGACTGCCAACTCTTGAGTCGCCACCACTACTCGGCGACGTACCATCACTACTCGGTGACTCAAGAGGACATGGAATCATCCCAACCACGATGTCATTCTCATTCTCATTCTCCCCCTCTCTACTAGCATCAATAGAGCCATCTCCAAACAATGAACTCAACTCCGTCTTCTCCCCATAAAAGGGTTCAAACTCCCAAAAAGTCACATCCATACTGACAAACAACCTTCTTTCAGTGGGACACCATCACTTGTATCCTTTTTGACTTGATGAGTAGCCAACAAAGATACATTTAACTGCTTGTGGATCCAGTTTACTTACCATCAATCTGTGATCTCTCACATAACATGTACATCCAAACACTCTTGGTGGAACAACAAAAACATTCGAGCCCAAGAGCATCTCACATGGTGTCTTCATCCCTAATACTCTTGATGACATCCTGTTGATCAAATAAGCTGCTGTCATAACAGCCTCACTCCATAAAAACTTAGGCACATTCATTGTCAACATCAATGAGTGTGCCACTTCCAGTAGATGACTGTTCTTACGCTCAGCCACCTCATTCTGGGCAGGGGTGTCTGGACATGTGGTTTGATGAAGAATTCCCTGACTAGAGATGAAAGCCGCAACTCCTAGTTGACATACTCGGTCCCATTATCTGTTCAAAGAATCTTCACATGCATTCCAAACTGTGTCTTCACATAAGCCGAGAAATCTTAAAAACATTTATAAACCTCAGATTTTTGTTTCATCATGTATATCCAGACCATACGTGAATAACAATCAATGAAAGTAACAAACCATCTAAAACTACTAATAGAGTTAGTAGGACATGATCCCCAAACATCAGAATGAACAAGTGCAAATGGTTCAAAACTTCGAAGACCAATCATTTTATAAGTAGAATGAGTATGTTTTTCAAGTTCACAAGCATCACAAAATAACTCTTTTCTATCCACTTTCTTCATTATCTCAGGTTCTAACATATTCAAACTATCAAAAGATAAATGCCCTAATCGGCAATGTTGAAGCATTGCTTCTGCCTCTGGCCCTCCACTAACAGCAGCAGCAATCATTGCAGTCTCCCTGTCCAAGTACCAAAGACCATCACGCCTGATGCCAGTCCCAATCCTCCTCTCTGTTTCCTTCTCCTGGAAGACACACATATCTCGATCAAATAACACAGTACAATTTAATTGATCAATGAGAGAACTAACAGAGAGTAAGTTGACTGGAAACGAAAGAACATGCAATACAGATGACAAGGTAACAGATGAAGTGCAATGGACGAAGTCAGTACCCCTGATGGGTTGGAATGTCCCATCAGCAGTCTGAACTGTCTCAGGATGCATATGCTTACTCGGATAATATAATGCAAACTCACTAGATGCTCCTGTGACATGCCTAGATGCACCTGAGTCTATGATCCAATCAACATGAGTTTTAGTGGATGCAAGTGCCTGAACCCGTGTACATTTGTTCGCATGAGCATAACCAACAAAATTACCAAAGCAGGTAGTGTTATCCAGATCCTGAGTAACTTGTCTTTTCTTCTTGCTCAGCTTCCGAGGATCTCTTCGTTGTCAGGGGATCCCTAGGCAAGGCCGTCGACGTCACAGATCCCTAGGCGACGTTGCTTCTTCTCTCGATCTCTGTCTTCTTCGCCCTCAACGATTTCATGGTCGTTCCTTCTTGCAAGATCTCTCGACGACGATGATTCTTCTTCGCTGCTCAGCCCCTTCGATCTCTTCGCCTCCGATGATCCTTCGCCTCAGATCGCCACTGCTGGAGGTTTCGTCCACTGCCTCAGATCGTCGCTGTCGGAGAATAAGATGACTGGGAAGAAGAGGTTTCGTCCGATAGCTTCAAGAGGTCTGAGCTCTGGAGGTTTCGTCTGATAGCTTCAAGAGGAGAGAGTAGAGGAGCCGCCACATAGCTCTGATACCATGTAGATTTTAGGGCTTCAAATTAGGGTTGCTTTCTCTCATAGAGAGGTACCCTTTTATATTAATGTACTCTTACAAATAGATCCTTACAACATTAACTAATTAACTTACTTCAACTCAACAAGTTTACATTGTTCTTCTTGACTAAAAAATATGTACTTTTTCTGGAGAAGTGTCCCAAAAGAGACTAGATTCCTTGCTCTGTTTACCATGAGGACATCATTGTTATTTGAAGTTGTTCTTTGTTGCTAAGTTTGGAGTTGAAGGACTCCTTTAATGTGGAAATCAACATGTTGCAGAGTGCTCACCTCATTGACGAGCTAAAAGAGCCGAGCTTTTGGAGCAAGGCTAAGTGGAGCCAACACGAGACCAAGGATCAAGTGCTTAGGGCACTCGAATCATAATAGATTGGCGTGGCAACGCGGGGCTAACTCGTCGCTTATCGCTGGCAGCCAAAGAGGGGCCATGGGCTCATCCCCATGACCAACCCTTTACAGTAGGTCAAGGGGGCCTATTTATAGACTAAAGAACATGCCTCACACGGGG